GCACACACATATACACACAAACATACAACAACACACACACACACACACACACACACACACACACACACACACACACCCACGTCATGCCCTTGCTGATCAGCACAGCGATCCGGTTTCTTCCATCCATACTAACGTGCACGGATTTTGGGAACGTGATCGCTGGGCCGAGCTTCCGCAATCAGTCGTGTGCAAATAAAGCCGTATAGGATTGTTTCAGTTGATGAAGGTGCCCTTGCGACACGCCCCCTGCTCCCACGTCAACAGCGATCGTCGCTTTAATTAAGTACTTTCGTCTCCTTATAGGGATGACGCGGGCAAGTAAGAGCGAGTTTTGACTTATGGAGCCGTCTTTGGACATCTGCGTTCCGTGAATGCGCGCTGGCCGTTAGTCGCATATACGGCGAGGGCAACTGTAGGCTTGGGCGATCGATTGGCACACAGACGTCAACGATAAGAAGGGTGTACCTGTCGTACAATACCCAAGTATAATTATATATATATATATATATATATATATATATATATATATCAATCAGATCGAGTCTCTCGGAAGAATGGTGATGGCATGCCAAGATGGTCTGTGCAGCATAATTGACCGAATTTCATCGGCTGACTGCAGGCCAGTATCGCGTCTAAGTTGGTCGATGTACGTCAGTCGCTGGCCGCCCCGAGAAGCCCGACCTGTTGAGGTTCCCAGAGAAGCAAGTCGTGCGCGGCAACATTATTGTGTTGGACACAGTGCCCCGCAAACGCAATCTTCTCGATCGTATCTTAGGGAGAGTGGGTGAGTTCCCCATAAATCACCTCATTCGGAACACGATCCTGCCAGGTGACATTACATACTTTTCGGAGCATACAAATATATATATTATATATATATATATATATGTATTAGGCGTGTACGTGCGTGTAGGTATATTAGGTTAGGTATATATTAGCAGGAGTTAATAATTATTAACTCCTGATATTAGCTATATATATATATATATATATGTGTGTGTGTGTGGTGTGTGTGCGTGCGTGCGTGCGTGCGTGTGGTGGTGTGTGTGTGTGTGTGTGTGTGTGGTGTGTGTTGTGTGTGTGTGTGTAGTACAGTGTTTTAGCCAGACAATTAATTAGGTAAATCTTCAGGGACGGCCGGCGATAAGCCCAGAAGACATTAGCTGCATACTTAAGAGTGGACATAAATTAACGTGACAGAAGGCATTGCAAAATTGTCATTAAGGGGGTACCCTCGGACGGTAGTCGCGACCGGTCGTGGGTACAACGACCCTTGAATTGACACTAACGAGGAAACAGGTCGGACGACGATAGATACAGATAAAAGACAGGGGTTTTGGTAGAAACGGGAGAGACGTCGACGTACAGCTGACTGGTATGTGTACATTGTTGCTATCCGTGTTTACAATAAAGCTATAGTTGTCACTGTTTACACAACTGTTACGTTCTACTGTCTACGAACCGATATTCCACTCTACATGTGTGTGCATGTGTATATTTGAGTGAGAGAGTGTGTGTGTATGTATCTCTGTGTGTGCGTGCGTGCGTGTGAGTGCGTGTGTGTCCGCGTGTTCGTGTGTTAACGGTTTTTGTGTGCATAAACAGGTCGAATTTTTATCGACTTACACTTATCGTGCAGCAGGTTGTCCAGATCCTCGCCCCATCCCAGCGCCACCTGTCGGGAAGGTCGGGCGGAGGAGGAAGAAGAGGAGGATTCTCTCTCCCGCATCTCTCGTACGGTGTCTCCATGTAGAGCGGAGTCGGTGTGACGCCGCCGCAGGAATCCCAGCTTCTCCTTAACATCCTTCGCACTGAAAAATGTCGGTTTACTCTCAAGAGACGTTCTTCTCGTATCTGGATCCATGAGTGTCAAGTGCGAATCGTTCTTTTTATGGCTATATACTGTATATATATATTTATATGATTTTACGACGTCGGGTTGCGACACCTATTCCTAACGTGGTCACTAGCAAACGCAGTCGTTACGGCACGTGATAACGTTGTTAATTCGAATCGCAACTCGCACGATAGCAACTCTCCAGCCACCGGGCACGTGAACGAGAAGTGTAGATGTTGAACGCGCAACCATGCGGCGATCAATACACGCACAACACGCCAGCACCTCGCACTAGTCTTCACTCTTAGCTACTAAGGGCCCAATGGCAGTCAGTAGCCGCGTGAGCAGGAGGAATACGGAGATCCGCAGCCACAGATCGCACATATAGAACTATAGCAGCCTTTCACCGAATCGCTAGATGCGAATTGTGAACATGCAACGACCACAGATCCTTCGAGATGCCCGAGGGACGGCGGAACGCAAGCTGTGCGCGACTGTGTGTGTGTCGCCACATGTGGCGTCGCCGCTGTGCGCTGCCCGCCGATTCATCCGCGCCGACGGCGAATGAAAGATCGATTTTGCGGTCTCTGACTGTTTGTGCTCGACGTCAGTGTCGCGCGATCACACCCATACGTCAGCCTCGAACGTCCGTCGTGCCGACCATGCACTCATGATCAATTCAAACACATGTAATTGGAATTCGCGCCGCGTCCTGATTACGAGCGAAACAAAATCGCATCAAAATGACTGCAGATGAGCTGCCAACTGCTACCGTTGCCGCTGTCGCCTGTATACGAAAGTGTGAGACATACATATAGGCGTCACTTGTTAGCGCTGTGTATTGGTCGCACCGACGCACACATCCAGGAAGATATGCGATACGATGTGCGCGTGCGACGCGGTGAGGTGTGCATGTGTGAGAATGTAAGTGAGAGTGGGCTTGAGAGTTTGAGAGTTAATGTGCAGCTGAAAGTGAAGTTGCGCGTGAGTGGGAATGTGTAGAGTTTGTTGGAAGGTGTGAGTAAGTGATTGCGATTACATTTCGACCCACCACCACCACCATGCACCACCACCATGCACCACCACCACCACTACCACCACCAACACCAACGCCACCACCATCACCACCACCACCACAACAACAACAACAACAACAACAACGCCTGGATGGATCATCTGGATGGATAGATGGATAGATGGATGCGTGGACGAATGGATGGGTAGATGGGTGGATACATCAGATAAGCTATAATCAAAATAATTAAAAAAACACCAAGCGAGAGTTATGTATTAGGACAAACCAGCAGTAACATTTCGAAATCTCTCACATAAATAGCGATCGTAAATAATTTTGTAGTATACGCGAGCTAAGCTATTGTTAATCATTGATCGTATGAAATTAGACTGATCCAATGGTCTTTGACTGCCTCTGTTTCTGTGAATTCTTACAACAGAGAGATGCGGAGTAATGAGGGTGGACCAGCCTAAGAGTGGAGCATAAATATACCGCAGTAATTCTAAAACGCAATAGATTTAATTTAATGGTCTCCTAACCTATAGTTTGATATCGGACTGTTTATAACCGTGCTCACTCCGATTGGAATGGACATAGGCATGTCATTATAAGTTAATGGAAAATATTCACATCTGTATAAAATCTTGATGTTGAATTGTTTTATTTTGGCCCAGCAGGGCTCTCGTAAATATAAGCGTGTTTCTATAAATACACAGAAGGTTTATTGAAAGTCGGAGTACGAAATCAAAAGAGCTTTTTTTTCTAACCGATCCATAATTATATGTTACTTATCACTTCTTTGCCGACCAATTGGAATACGAATTTCATTTGTAAGTTGTGCTCGAATTTTGCATGTTAAATCTAAATCTCGAATGAGCTTTTCGGGATTTCGCATATTTTAGATCACACGCGGCCTTCGGCACAGAACATCATGCGAATACAATACGCCGTCGCTAGTAAATTGAGCGTTCTTAGTTGTGTTTAGAATGTGTTTAGTTAAAATGATAACCGGAGGCCCGTTGTTAGAAACATCGTAAGTAGCTATGACAAGTATAAACAAGAATTAACAAGTATGTTATCTTGAGTCAAGGATGTTGCCGCTTTTTACTCGAGACTTCGTGTGCAAATGTTATGCCATCCCAGTCTTGCGATGTCATATTCATCGCGCGTGCGCAGTTCCATTCTGCCCACTTAATTACGAATGCAGGTGGAGAGTATCGGAAACATTCCCCTTCGCCTGCCCAAGAATCAGTAGCAGAAAACAAGTGAAATAAAACGCTAAGAGGCTAATCACGAGTATTTCATTTTTTAATTCTTATTGTTTCGCAAGTATAGTGCCTATTAAGTTCCGCCAGACGCTAGAAATTCTCCGCGAAGCCGGAACCCGCCGGGCAGCGCTCTACCATAACCGTCTCACTAGTGGTTTTTGCCTCCCACTCACGTTTGCCGATTTATGAATCCGCCAATGTGTTCACTCGCCCCCTAAAAAGCACTATAACACTGAAGATCGGGCAAAAAAACCAAGTTAATCATCCGAGAGAAACTGTAGCGCGGCAGACTCCGATAGTAAATCATAACATTAGATATAGGATCCTCATGATCACACTCATGTACACATGCCGGATGAGACCCAGCTCTTACCCGCCGCTATCAGTTATTTGGCCATTTATTTATTGTTTAACGGGAGACGTTGTTTAGCTCAGCGTATTCGACTGAATAACGCTCGGTAATACAAGGCCCTTCTCTGTCACGGGCGCCGTTATTATTCCAAGATTATTACTCCAAGGTTATTACTCCAAGGTTATTACTCCAAGGTTATTACTCCAAGGTTATTCCTCCAAGGTTATATACAGAGGAGCCGCACGTTGCTGAGACATAAGTCACGCTGCCGTTACAGACAGCGCTTTCTTTCATGTTCCTTTCCGACCGGTATCACGCGGAAAGAGTAGTTCACGTGATATATATATATACACACATTTATATATATACTAGCTGCGGGTACCCGCTGCGCTGGGTAAAATCGTGCTACTAATTCATACTACTAATAATTGGACACAATAGGAACATTGGGTAAAAATCGACAATATAACATTGCACACAATATCAATATTTACAAATCAAAGTCTAATAAGATAATAAGCATGGGGAAAAACTGTTACGTATGACATTTATATGACAGCAGAACCCAACTTAGAACCCCTGGAACATAATAGTAATATGGTGCAAATGAGAAAAAGTTATTCTAACAGCATGTACGAATGGGTTGCACTTCTCATTTCAAAGCCTCTTGATAAACAATGCAGTCGTAACCTCTGATTCTGAACAGGTTCCTGGTTGTGCTCTGTTTTAGTTTCGGTTTCGGTTTCACAATACCAGCAGCTGATGGAATGAGTGATCGATTTTTTTCTGTGTGGCAGCACTGTACAGTCAGTGCTGACACGACATTGTGTGAAGATTCACGAATTGAGGGGTTTTTCACAGATTTTTCGGTGGATTTTGACGGTTTGGGCAGGTTTTTTGCAGCTAAGGACACCTCCCGGGTATAAGAGCTGGCCCTGAAAAATTGCATCGCAGATCGCTTGGGCGGTTTGGCCGCCTATAGGAAAGATACAACATACATGACATACGAACAAATATATAGATATTAATATATATTTAGTTCGTATGTACTGTATCTTATGTATCTTATATCGTATTTATCTTCCCTATAGGCGGCCAAAAACCGCCCAAGCGATCTGGATGCAATTTCAAGGGCCATTCATCTATACCGGGGAGTGTTCGGTAGCTGCAGCCCAAACCTGCCCAAAGGCCGTCAACTCACGCGCAGAAATCGCGTGAAAACCCCC